TACTCTTACCACTACTACTACTACTACTACTACTACTACTATACTACTACGACGACTATTGCTATTACTACCACCACCACCCCCACCACCCCCACCACCACCGGCACCACCGGCACCACCGGCACCACCACCGCCACCACCGCCACCGCCGCCACCACCGCCACCGCCACCGCCACCACCACCACCGCCACCGTCACTGTTCCTACTCTTTCTGTTACAGCTCCACTACTCTGCTGTTCCTCCTGCCCTAGTGCTCTACTACTCGACTGCTACTGCGACCACGGCTACGGCTGCGTCCTGCAGTCACAAAATACTATTACTCCTGTTCATCAACGATGGAGCAGGAATGAGCTTCAGTGGACTTACCTCGATCCTTTTCTCACGAGTGCAAACCAACAGAAGATACATTTTCCAATCTGAAATTCATAGATTTCTAGGCCTGGTTGGTGAGAACTTAATCTACCTGGCCTCCTGCAGATCAATCTGCCCTCATTCCCCTGAAACCGCTTGCAGTCAGCAAATGCAATGCGAGAGTAGACTCAGTGATAGAGCGGGAACACACCGTCCCGTTTCATTGTGCAGATCGTAAGACGTGCCGCAGCTTCGCATCGCAGTGTGATCCAACCATGTAACAACCGTCCAACAATCACCGTGCAACTATGGCTATGTCAGAGCCTGGCGCCGCCCGTGCAACCTGCAACCCTCTGTGCCAACAAGCCTCACGTCTTCAAGCCATCTGGATCGGCTTCGAGATGCGCCAGACCTGGTACGTTGTATGTGACAGTGGGCCACGGGGCTTCGACGGGAAGCTTCACTCAAAAACCGAACGCTTCAGGCTAAGCCCAGACCTGCCTTGTGCATCTGCCACTCATCCCGGACCTGGCAGCCGATGCGCAAACTACAGACAAGTTCGGCCGGGGGCCTAACCACACACGATTTGGGGGATGAGTCCGGTGTAATCACTTATCCCGTCGGGCAAAAACCAGCTCGCCTCCTTGCGCCACGCAAGAGGCCAAAGCAAGTAGACTGCCTTAACTGTCGGCGGTGGAGAGAGCCGCAACAAACACTCTATCATCTTGCAGGTGGGCCCCGGTGTTGCTACCTCGTGCTCTCATGCTGACTCATGCCCGCTAGTTCTGGGCCAGAGGACGAAGGACGAGTACTCGGCGAGGGCGAAGAGCGCCTGGGGGATCTGGTAGTTGATCGTGATGAGATGCCTCGGGCGCAGCGACAGGGGAGGGTCTCCAGAAGCCACATGATTTTCTCGACGTTGTAGTCGTAACACTGGTGCAACTACTGCTATCCGACCAAAATTCCGCTAAAGCAATCGAGCTGCTGCTCCAATAGCAGCAATACCTCAGCTGGCGAGCTCATGCTTTTTGTAGAGAATTTGTTTGTGAAAGCATCACTGTATTGACCATCACATGACGGCCTTGAAAACCAGCATCATGCCGCACCATGAACGAAATTACCCAACACCTTCCCAGGCGCAACGAAGCCAACGAGGACAGCATCACTGAGAATGGTTGAGAAACATAGGCACCTGACGTTGGAGTATCCAAATGGGGCCGTCGAATGGGCTTATTGGCACTTGCTTCTCAAGAACTGCCGAAGCCGTGCACATGAAGACAATTTTCACTTTGGGTCTGAAGCTGCTGTTCACAGCTTCGTCCCTTCCTGGAACTACAACGTGAGCTTGAACGCGCGGGTGGCGAGAACAAATGCATGCATTATGCAAAACGCACGCAACTGCGCACCACCGTTGCACTTTACGTGTGCTTGCAACTCCTGCCCAACACTTGCTGCAACAACATACACGCGGATCGCATCATCTTAGCAGCGGTTCTCGGAAAGGATTCCCACAGGCAAGTCAGGGTCCCATCACGCAGATTCTCTTGTGATTACACAATGCAGAGGACTTGCGAAAAGGTGCAGTTGACCCCAACTCAACCTACGAAGTATTTAGGCGCAGCATATGTTATGCCGTAAAACACTCCCATCTGCGACTCTTTGACTGACCAGCCACGAATCCGAATTCAGGCCCGGCAGGTCGCATTGCTCGAAAGGGACAACACCGTAGCGGCACACCCTCAAGACAGTAACAGTGTATTTCCTGAGCACCTCCTCCCAGCTGTCAGAGGTGCACTTCCCGCTGCTAGGGCTGTCATGGCGAAGACCTCAATCTCAGTCAGAAAGCGCTGCATCTTGCTTTTCGTGTGGCCTTCAGGGCGTTCCTGCTGTGCCGTCACTGAAACAATCAGTAGCACTGCTGCGCGGACTGACAGGAGTAGCTTTCCTGCACAGCAGCATGCATTGTTACATTCGCTACATACCACCCGACCCGACTGCTAAACTCAATATTCCCATACGCCCGCACAGGAAGGCAAAAGACATGATTCATTTTCTCTCCGTGCACCATGCCCACTACACGAAGGAGTTTGCTAAGTCTTTCGTCGAGAGGTTCCTGGAGCGATTGCGTGAGCCCGAGTACCGCGTGCTTACGCGAATTAGTGCGTGCCGTTCCTTGGTGCGTGCCGTTCCTTGATTTGGAGGTCAGGTTCTTGGGTTCGAGTGAGACTCATTGCTAAGTCAGACTGAACAAACTTGCCAAGGAACCATGAGGCACATTGTCAGCACTAGCGATGGTGTGGATCCCTGGAGCAAGGCCGTGATGAAGCCGCACCTGGGCCCAGCTGAGCAGCTGAACAATCATCGCTTGCTCGATCGCTCGTCGTGTATTGTTGGTTCGTGGCCTTTTCGGGTGGATCTCAGCTCAAACACTGGAAAACATCATGATCCATGCTCGTGAAGTACAGCCTTCGAATCGGTTCTTCGCTGAAGCCGATAGTATTCCGAGGACTCGGCGTAATGCTGGTGTAGCCCATGATGCATCCTATCTGCTTTGCAAGAGTGCTGTCCTCCGAGGCAGGAGGGGCAGTGAACAGCTCACGAAGACAATCAGTGAAATCAGCAAGCACCTCGCACTCAAATGCAGTGCAGGGCCGCGTAGCACCTGGCGCAGGCATGAGCACAGGAGCCGACTGTTGAATCCAGCATGCCACCTCTACAATATATTAGGGAAGCATATTGTACGAGAGATACTGCACTTGCAGTTCAAATTCAGTACTATGCGTTAGTTGCCGATATATATTGCGAGTTTTCCGCAACACGATTCAGGTTGCAAGGCACCGATGAGGGCGAAGGCTGCGATGTGAGCGGCCAAAGCAGGGATCAGGCCCAGAATGACCAGATACCCTGGCTAAGGAGGGTTCAGGATTTGGGGTTGAGTTAAAAGAAAAGTACTCACAGAAAAAAGGACAGAGTACGAACTACATCCAGGTCTCGGGGGTAAGGGGCTCTCTAGCTACATGTTCCTAACCATTTGAGGGTGGGTGAAAACCCCCACCCATTTGCTTGACCCTTAACATGGTTGTCGTTTTATTTTACTCTTATCGTTTTACAGGACTTTGGGACTGTATGATCTGAGCCAATGTTGCGAACATTCGTTATCGTTCTTTTTAGTGGTTTCGTTTTACAGGGAATTCGATTGCTCTCAAGCTACGGGCGCATATACTTTAAAACTGCTCTTGGGTTTGTTTTATCATCCCTCTTGTTTCTTCAGCTGCATCACGACGGACGGAGCATTCATGGATGGGTGTTGAAGCCAGATGTCGCGACTATATCATGAGCTAACCACAAGGCGGCTAGTCAAAGACGCTCGCAACAAGGACGCACAGGGCACCGGGGACACAAAAGCAGTGCTGAGACCCGACACGCCTCCGGGTCGAAAGTCTGCTGGCCGACCTCACGTCCCCCCGCGCTTCCCCGGCCGATCTCGAAAGACAGAAAGCATGCCGCAGTGCCGGAATATCTTCTGGAATGCAAGCCCAGGCCGGTCCATGAGCCTCCATACACAGAACCTGCGACAGTCGCCTCACCACACCGGGCGAAAGAAGATTTGCCGTGACTATGGAGTATGCCGTGTGCCAAAGGCGTGGCGCCGTGCTCAGCCTTTGCTTTCAAAAGACTTCGCTTGTGTCCTTGGAGTCGGCGAGTTTTGCGGCCGCGCTTTCGCGCTACGGGACCGACTCTCGGGCAAAGTCTGCTTCTGCGTCCCAGACCTGTGCCCTCAGCAGCCCTTCAGGGGTTGGCGTATGGACATTAAAAGAACATGTGCAACGCAAAAGCTCAGAAGCTCGTCCGCGACAGCAGCTGGCAACGTCTTCTTGCTGACCCAGGACTCAACAGCGGCCAGTGCCAAGCAGCTCTGCACGCTGCATGTGCTACCTACGGCCGAGGCCAGCTGCGATTGGAAAGAGCCATGCACTGATGGGAAGCCAAGAAAAAAACCGAAGCCCGTGAACACATGCAGTGCCATACTCCGCTAGGAGATGCAGGTCGTAGGACTCGCCCGGCTGAGAGCTGACTTTCACGTGCAAGGCGCAAGGCTGGCGATGATGGTCGGCACACCCAGGACACCTTCAGGCATTGTCCAGCACGCGCTAGCTACTTGAATGCTCCGGTGTGCCTGCGTCTTGCAACATCTTATCTCGGAGCCTACACATCACCGCTACGTAGGATCACGTCCTTCCTTCAGGAAGTTCAATCGAAAACAAAACTGCCAACGCAGATCACCATACCACGCACCATGCACACTGTACACCCCGAGGGTGCCAGGACGACCACCGCGACCGCGACGACCACGACCACGAGCACCGTTACGACCAAACATCAGCATGACCATGACCTACGACGACCACAAGGACGACTGCGACGACCAAAACCACCATAACAACCACACCAACACTGGCCCTGCTATGGTTCGAGGTGCTTGGAGCATGTTGAGCAACTAAATGCGCGCGGGACGTTTTGGGAACACGATTGTCTTGCATGCGGGACTGTGCTGGAAGCATCGATTTTGGACGCGGAAACACGAGTCGCAGACCAGATCACCACACGCAGGCAGGAGCGCGAGCGGGACTTGTGGTGTGAAGAACATGCCGGAGCAAACCACCAAGTGCCAGTACGCATCATAGTGACATAGTTAGGAATTGAGGCATTTCCAGCCTTTAAAAAGCACCACCTCCAAAATCCTTGTCTTCAAAACCCTGGGACGAGCCCGATGAGCCAATGGAAAAACGCGTGCCCGCAGATCGGGCCGTAGGCTGTGGGCTTTATGGGACTTGAGCCCAAAATCTGAGCCACGGAACACCTCGGGTTCACATACACTTAACGTAAAAACCCCCATAGAGTTACCATTGTGTTTGGGGAGAAACCTTGGTGACCGTTTTCGGGAACGGCGGACTTATCCGTACTTTATGATCGACGAAGTTTGCCGCCTGCACCATATGTTCGTGCCGTTCAAACATCGTGGATGCCCGGCCCACCATTCATCCTGCTTCGCCAGCTACTATGGTGAGGCCAACCCCAGCTTGTGCTGATGCTTTCTGCTAGCACAACTCATGGAACCGTTTCGGAAGGCTGTGCTTCCCAACATCCATGGACAGGCCTGGTGCAGCAAGCAGGTGTTGTGCAACCACTGGATTCCAGGAGGGCGACAGACCCTGCAGGCGAGGCACAGCAACAAAATCATGTCGTGAGGCCTATAGCTGGGCCCAAGGCAACGCAGTCATGCAGTGCGCAAGAGCTGATTTCTGAGAACTTCGACAAGCAAGAGCAGGCTTTGAATGTTTGTTCTAGCTCGGTGCACGAGCTGCATGTGCCAGAATACGAACACAATCACTGCCTACCCAGCCAAAACAGACACGAAGCTGGCAAGTGACTGTGCCAGCATGGACCTTCACGGATGTCGGCAAACCCGACTAGATTTATCGATCTCAGCACGTGCTCTTGCAGTCAACGCTGCGGCTGTGCATCATGTGGTGAAACGAGAATAGTTGCACCGGATCACACAAGCACATCGCAGAAGAATGAGGTACCGGAAGTAAGCTCACACACACTGAATAACCTCGTACCTACCAACCCGGCCTGAGCTTCTTGAAGCCGCTGGCTTTCCCGCAGCGCATCGCCCTGGAGACAAATGGATGTCAACTGAGACTCACAGCTTCGCAGCCACTCGCGGCTCTCGTCTCACTGCTATAGTACGGTGTCAGCTTATGTAGCTGGTAGCTTGTCTGCACTACGGATTCACGAGATATCGGAATGAGCTCGCAGATTATTCCTCTTCCCTTCCATCCGCTCGGTCTGGTGCTTTTTTCACGCAAGCTGCCGCCATGTGTCACAGAATCAGCTGGCATGGGGTCTGTGCGAGGCCTTCTGGCCTCTTCCATCGGCTCGGATTTTGCATGTGACAAACACGAACGGAGCGTGAGCTGGAGCCACGGATGCCGCCCCATCTTTCGAGCAGAATGTCGTCCGGGCCGGGCGCCGCTCTCAGTCGGGCCAGTGCTTTGCCAAAGCATCGGCCAGAGCGAGGACGCGGGAGCGGTGAGCTTCATCACACTGCTTGTGCATAAGCCTGATTCGGACAGGGAAACTTCTCTGCAGAGGCTCAAGGTTGGAGGCCAACTTCATCTCCAAGAAACTGTGTTGCTCGTACCCCACAGACTTCGTCGTCCTTTGCTGTGCAGGTGCTGTCACCATACCTTGGACTTTTGCAGTCTTCGGACTTTGGAATCTTAAGTAAGACCTTCATATCGTCGTTGGAACAGTTTGCAAACTTGCGTCCCAGATGCATCGCACCTCCCAAAGCACCAACCAACACCTGGGAAGTCAGCACGATGGAAGGGGCACTACGCAGTTCGGGGTGTAATGTGCTTCCTTTCTTGGCTCCCGAGCAGGGCAATAATTGTCCGGCCCTGCAAACTGGATGCTCTGAAGAAGGGCGCCGGTAAAGGTCCTGAGCCAGGGTGTGCCGTCGAGCCGTGTGCTTATCCATGATCTGTTCAATTCCTCTTCCGCGCTCACCGCAACAGCGGAAGCACATTCTCGAAGACAAGGCTCCGGTAGTTTCCCACGAAATGAAGCGCCGACTCCAACGCAAGAGGAGAGTAGCCATCCTTACAGCAACAAGAATGAATGCATCTCAGTGGGAGTGTTACGACTGAAAGCCAACATCGCAACATCTTCCGAGCCTGTGATCTTTATTACAGCAACGACTTTCGATCTTGACTTGTGTGGCATATCAGGCATAGCAGTCTGAGCGTTTTGTGGAAGCACGCAACACGAGACTGGAAATGTGAGGTGAGCCATCACTGTTGGCACTGGGCACTCCATGCACACAGCACCTCTATCCAACTGCGATAACCAAGGAAAGCGTCTCTGTGTGTCGGCGCTGCATCGAAGCGACCCTCTGATGCCACCCGCATGACACGCAGGGTGTCTGGCGCATCCTAGTCAAACGTGGCGCACTCAGGAATTTCTGTCCAGGCAAGCTTGTTCAAAGCTTCAAGACTGTCTGTCTTTAGGTTGGCTTGCCGGGGATACCACGAATACCTGCCGGGGCCGGCATCCACCATGTGGTGATGCTATATTAATGTGTTGCAGATTTGGGAAAGCAAATGCGGCACCGATCATGGTCTTTCTGGTCTCGTGAAGCTTCTGATCGACTCCTCAGGAAGCCAAGGGAGTGCTTCTCTGGCCGATTGCTGCAAGCTCCTCGGAGAAGCAAGGTTTAGGTAAGGATTCGCCCTCAAATTAATTGTAGACTCTGCAGGCAGTGTAAACGTGGTACGTGTCCGTTGAGGCGTGGAAATGATGGGAGTACTCAGGGCTACTCTGTGATCTTGGTGGGCAAGCAAGCCCTTGCCAACATCTGCAAGGCTGGTTCTGGTGCTTCTGCAAAGTGGCACTCCCTCGATCAAGAAACGGCACAGCAAAGCTGTCGCAACCGATGTTGCCACAGCCTCTCCGGAGACGTAACAATCCGCAACCCGATTTCTGTGCAGAAGCTGTCAGAAGTATCTCCCCCCGTCTTCAGCCTCAGGATGGTGGTGAGTGAGCCGGGTCTCTGCCACGCAGGAGTCCACCAGCTGTTGGAGGGAGAGTCCTAGGCCGAGCACCGAGCAAGAGAGATTTGTTCCGCCATATCCGCAGGTACTCTGCTCTTGCACTGCAGCAGAGCGAGATGGACTCAATTCGTGCAGGACAGGTTCGGGCATGACGCGCTGATATTGAATGCCAAGGTCGGCGGGATTGCAGCAGCACGTTGACCTCTTCCTTCCCTATCAGTCTGGGCCAACCCAAGCTCCCGAACGGCTGACTCAGAAGATCGCCAGAACAGCCAACAGTCTAAATTCGGCTTTTCAGTTTAACAAAGCCAGGAGGCGCCGCACTGCAGCGTAGATGGAGTTGCGATGTGCTGGGCTTACACCGGCAGAGGCCCGACGCCGGAAAGCTTCCGCTGCCTTGAGCCACGACATGGACGAGCAGAAGAAGTAACTGGACATTGTTTTTTAGCAGGCCTGTCAAGTATGCGTCTCAATCGGCTTGCCGCAGCTACAAGGGGTTTCTGACACGTGTCGGCAAGAAGGGCTCCTCACTTTTGCTTGACACTTCGCACATATTAATTTCAATTCACATTAACATCGAGCAACACTCCACGAATTACAACATGACGAGGGGGAGAGAGAGAGAGAGAGGGAGACAGAGAAAGATAATATACCCCGTGCATGGCTGGATCTTCTTCAACCGGCTGAATCCTAAAATGCTTGGCTGGTTTCCACCTCGTCACACAGCTCACAGTCTTGCATCCGTTTCGTGAAGCTTACTCTCTGCATGCTGCCCCGCGGATGCACTCTACCAGCTGAAGCCCCACTTAAACCCATGCGCTGTGGTTATACTTACCGGTCGTAACTCATCCCGCCAACAGGCTTGTGACGCATGGCCAATTAAGCAGTCTAGCCGTGCCCTGGCGAAGTTGCACCACAGATTTTGCGTCATGCTTGAGATCATGGGTACGGTATCTGCTGCATTTAGAGACAGTTCTGCCAACACAGACCTCTGACAATAGTAGCCTCGTGGTCAGCGCGGGCCAACAGCGCGTCGTCATCAAGAGGCCTTCCGTCCTTAAAAGACTTTGACGGCAGGACTCAGGGTTCAAAGGAATGTCCAAAGGTTCAGATACCAAAAGAACTAGCTACAGTCGAAAGCTCTCTGCTACTCAAATCTGAGGGTCAGAGAGGCAGCTTTCCACCTCAGAGGCGAGTGTGTCGTGCAGCTCGAGTGGACAGAGGCTATGCGCAAGCCAGTTGTTTGATGGACTCCTAGGCAGTTGGACGGTTTCTGGCAACGATTCGCGACTGGCGATGGGGCATGTCGTCCAGTACCTACGTAGTACCGCAAAGTGGACTGGCATCCAAGGTGTGAGTGAAGGTTGTATTCTAAGCAGCCGAATGACCCAGTCTCGTACTTTCGGGATCACCTCCTCGAAGACGGCGCCGGTGTCGAAAGCGGCCTCCAGTCGAAGGAGCGAGGGCCCCGAGAAAGGGAACCAGCGCAGCTTTCCCCGCCTCGGGCTCCGGCGGCAAGGCTTCCTCGGCCCGAGAGGCCCAGACAGCGGCGGCAGATCGCGGACTCTCCCAGCGGATGTAACCTCACAGTGCACCATCCGAGCCACTGCTGCTGCGGTAATGAAAGGGCTGTTTTCAAAGCCAGGCACGACGAAGCCCCGATGCGACCAGATTCTTGGAGTGAGCTGCCTCCAAAATTGGCAGTGACTGTTTCAATCTTCGGCGAAGATTTAGACAATCAGCTTCACACAGTCTCCCTCTTCCCTACAAGCTAGCGGCAACCAATTCCGACATTCTCCGCGAAATCCACGCCTCTGCCAGGCGCAAAGCCAGGCGCTGGGGTCCTGAATTGAATCAAGCCGCCAGGCTTGCGCAGTTTGAAACCAGAGGGGCTAAAGAGCCACACCGGCATCCAATAGAATCGTGGCTCAAGAAACACAGATACCACACGGGCCAACAATCATACCATGCACTGGTCAGACATGGCATGTCCCGGTATGTCCTATGAGCCTATACTACCACACATGTGTTGACGTGGCAATCTGAAGACAATTCGGGCAGCGGGGAAGCCTCCATTGCGGTCACCGGCGCAAAGACCTAGTATCAGCCCTCGACAGCGGTCCCGCGTCGAAGCCATGCAAAGATGTGGCTACATCGGAAGTGTGTGTGTGTGTGGTTTCTGGCTCATTCTTCGATACTCTAGAGTTTGTGCAGGTGCTGCCATGTTATACTCAGCATGCTTGTATTTCTCGTCAGAGTTGCTGAACGAGGTTGCTGGATCCAGAGCGGCTCGACCAGGTTGCGTGCTGTCAAAGCATGTTGGCACGGGAAAGTCTTTGGTGGCACCACGACCTATATCTAAATCTGGCAAAGTTCGTACGGGATACGCTCCAAGCCTGTCCACCCTGTGCGATGATGTCGATGGTTCGGACGGAAAGTCCTGCGAGCACCTCGGCATTTCGGCTCCCTCTCCCCGCTTTGTCCCTCCACTGCCTCCACTCTTCACTTCATTGACGACCTGCCTTCCCACCATCTGCAACCACTGGCAGCGTCTGCCTTGCCTTTTGGAGTCTGGTCTCCTTTCGCCGGAACCTCTGCCTGCGTCCTCGAGCGAACAAAGCCGGTATTTCAGACAAGATGCTGTCCGACAAGCCACAGGCACGACATCTTTGGCCGCTGAGGAGAGTGCCTGGGTAGAAATGTTCCATGATCACGACTTGGACTGGACAACCAATGTTTCGAAGTCCGACAGGAAATAGATGAAAGGGACAGTTCGCCAGCCATACATGTTCTTACGATCGACGCACAGCTACATGCATGCATACACAGACAGACGGACGGACAGACACAATAAATACCTGCAAACATGATGCGCCAAACCAGATTGGGGACGATAATAGCAGAACCGATGAACCAAGACAGCGATTATGCTGCTGTGGCTGTGGTATATTGCCACAAGGACGAAGATAGCAACAGTGGAAATCTGACAAATGATGCGAACACGCGCGATTATGTTGGCAAGTACAAACAACAGCAACTCGGCACAAAGAATGCACACGTGGCACAGAATGCAGAACACATCACAGATAGGGCCATGGAAGGTGCCAGCGGCGTTTATGTGCTCACCGCCCCCAACGCTAGCTAAAGCCCTTGCTCCGATGCAACAGCACTTGGAATGCCCACCTTGGTGCTAACACCCAGGACACCTAATTACTTAAGGGCCCGCCTGATGAAGATCCGAAACGACACAGGCAAGACTAGCAGCAGCAGCAGCAGCAGCAGCAGTCAGGGCAATTGGTCTTTCGCCTGCCACGCATTGCAGTAAAGCGACATGCAGCGCTACGCTGTGCATCTTGAACACGTTCTCATAATTCACTTGGCTCTTGTACCCACGACACGCAAAAGAATCCGAGGTCCAGAGCTCGACATAGTTTCCGTGCTACCGAGGGCACCACCCGACCACCAGCACCAGCACCAGCACCAGCACCACTATGATGATTGCAACAATGACAACGGTAACGGCAACGCAGCAACGACAACAACGTCCGTGAAACGCAAGACACAAACAAAAACGTCAGCAATGGCAATCGGTGTGACAAATTTGCGCACGGTCATCGTCAGAGAGCAACCGAAGAATGCCGCAAGAACAACTTAGAATACACACTGTCAATCACAGGTGCAGCAAGTGCGACCCAACTGTAGGCATAGTTCTATCATCACCGGCCCCTTGGTCTTGGTCATACTACTGCTGACACTGCGGACGTGTCAACGACTACTGTATGCTTATTCTGCTACTGCGAACATGTCAGCAGCTAGACCTATTGCTCCTGCATGGCATGACCGATTGCAAAGTGAGTATCAATGTTGCTTGAGGATCGATAGTGACAGGCTGGATGCAAAGATGAAGATAAAACCACGATAAGCAACAAAGCCATGCAGCGGTTTCAAGTTGAAGTGTTTGCGTCTGCGAACTTGCCAATAAACAACTTCATGGAGTGGTCGGCCAGGGTTAGCAGCAGTTGAGGCTATCGGCTCTCGAAACAGGGTCTGGGGTCGTATTCAATCATTCCAGCACCTGCATACTTCTCCAGTCAGGGCGAAGCACTACCAGCAGAGTTGTCAGTGTCGCCAAAGGCAGCACTGCAGCCTCTCGGTGGGTCTCAGGGCTGGCTTGTGCTGATCCGGAACAAGAACAACTGACAAACTCGCTGGTTCCCATCTCACGAGCAAGGCTGTAGTCTGAAGCCGCAGCAGAAAAGACATGCCTGGAATGATTTGAGAGAAGCGAGACAAGAGCTGACAGCTCGGAGATGTTAACAGAACACTGCTCACGGCAAGAGTTTGGGACACAGGCTCCCAACCTGATTGCAGGTAAAAGTACCAAATGTCACTTGAGCAGATCTCACCTCTCACGGAGAATGCCGTGGAATCTCAAGCGGAGGTGTGGGACGACTGGACTTCCCCGAAGGCCCCTCTCCACGTGGGTCGCCTTCCAGATTCGCAGCCAGAAGCGCGTTCGCAGGAGGACCTAGTTGGCGACAAGTGCAACCGCCGGTGTCAAAGACTGCGTGCCCAAAGCTCAGAAATTGCTCCCTCAGATCCAAACTTAAGGATGAAGAAAGTAGCTGTCGGCCACTCGATATCTGAAGTTTGTCTTGCAACCGACGGATGAGACTGTCATGCCGGGCGGCTTCGGTCGCAAACAGGCGTCGGCGAGGGTGGAGCCAGAAGAAAGAAAAGCCTGCCCATCTAAAGCAATGCCTAGAGCTTGGCTATCGGCCAGCTCGACACCAGGCCTGAAAGCCAGACGACCTCCAAGAAAATCCAAATCTGCCTAAGAGCTGAGCAGAGGTTCTGTCGAAGCTGAGTTGGTATGGTCATGAAGCGATACCGGAGCTGAGCAAACTGATGGAGCCAAGGCGCCAGTGGAAGTCCTGCGTGCAATGCGCAGTTACAGGCCGCACATCGATGTCACACAAGACTTGCGCAAGCAAGCATTGACGGCACATGAGTTTCCGTATCGTGTCCAAGAGGTACCTTGGCTGTTCCCTTTACTTGATACTCTTTCTCTTTCAAAAGATATAATACGGTATAATTCCTTCTGAATCTCTTCCGAAATCATACTCATGGCCCGGACCAGCCACGAGGTGCGGGTGCACAAGAACCTCGGCTACATGCTACACGCGGGATGTTGCAGGATTGCTGCAGCCATCTATGCTTTTGACCATTGGACATGCAAACCAACAATTCATGGTGATGGTGTCGCAGGTGAAGCATGATAAGGCTTCCGTGCCGTGTGGGTTGACGGATCGTACGTATCACACATTGACTGCTCAGCTCAGGCGAATGCCTTGCCTGACAGTCCATCTACAAAGCAACACATCATCTCATGTCCCTATTCAGTTGTCTCATCCCTGGGGCTCGCATCAGCATCTGATGGTGTGGCGGTGTAGCCTGGGCTCTGTGGTTCAGTGCCATCCAAGCAGCAAGAACATTGCCACGACCGATCCAAGGCGGATCACAATCACATCCTCGGTTCTTGCAGTGAACCAGATATAAATGAAGAAAGTTGACCGCTACAAGCCCAACTCAACAAAGCCACCCGGCCAGTTCGAGAACACACTATACAAGTAAGTACTATAGTTACATATAGCCACTAGACAGCCTGAGTGTCCATGGGAACTCCAGCCATGTCAGCTCCGCGGTACTCGCTGTGGACAGTGGGATCCTGCGGGTTTCTTCCGGCTGTTTTAGGCGCCAGACCTGGAACCAGCAACTTCGGATAGACTTGACAGCCCCATCTCTCTTCTGGATGCAACTCTGACCTTCCATACCCTGGCCTCTGGCCCTGAGACCACGAAGCCAAGCTGCAGCAGACAGAAGTAGAGGCCTGCGAAAGAAGTCTGAAGGCCCATCGATGTTCATGCTATAATCTATGCCACGCATATACAATAATATGTGAATTGAATTTCAGAATGCTTGCTTGTCCAACTGTATGATAGCCTGCTTGAACCTCTTCTTTCTGGCTCTTCTCCAACTTAAGCAAAGCATTCCAACCGATTGCAGAGGACGTTGGAGTTGGCGGGAGTGGCCACTCGAGACACCACGGTTTCCGGAAACATAACTGCAAAAAGCAACCAAATACAGAAAGGAATGTGTAATGATTTGGACATAAGTGCATCTACATATATAGGTATGCATACATTCAATATTTCTGTGGCGACTGCAGCAAGACTGAGGTGGAGTTGCCCCGTGTGTGTGTGAAGGCACCGGCGTGTACTTGTACCATGGGAGAGGGGGGTTGGGGGTCGAGGTATGTATGCTGCATGCATGCATGTGTGTGTGTGTGTGTATGTATATATATATATATGTACAACATGCATGTATGCAAGGGCATTCATGTGTATGTAGACTGTATAACCTGCCTTTGCGAGCATATACACTTGTCTGTGTACCGTGTGTTTTGTGTATGCATGCATGCAAGCATGCCGCAGCGTTTGGGGCCATCTTGCGGAATGCAGTGCATCACTGTAGTATCGAGCAGGCGAACAATAAGGGGAATGACAACTTCTGCAGGCGCCCTGCAAGGCTCTTTTCTGGAGCTTCCAGCCAAACTGCTACTGTACACTTTGCTAAACTACCGAAACCAACAACTCGGAAGAGATGTTTCAGGAAAGATACGAAGTATCCTAAACCGTTGAAACCGCCTCCATGTCCCTAAACTGCGTAATCTCCACGAAAAAATTCCACCACATTCCCGACAGTCTGCAAAGTTTTGCGGAGTTTGCGCGATTTCGGAATCTGCGACTCGCTCTAGGGTTGTAGATGAAGGTAAGCAAGTGAAGAACGATCACTTAGTAGCAGAAAATTCAGGACGTTTAACGGTTGGAGATTCGAGAAAGTCAGGGCATTCGGGGCTCTCACCGTACAGTGATAGAGTACTGTATAAGCACACAGTGCAGCAACAGGATAAATGCAGTCATGCCTAGGAGCTTCTGGCTACAAGACAGGAACGACAGCAGCAAAATATATCAGCTTTGCATGCCGCATCGCCTGCACAATGTAACAACTTTGCCGCGCATCGGTCCGACAGACTGTAGAAGCATGGTGGCAAATGTAGCCAAGCGACTCTAAGTAAGACTATGGTCAAGCAGAAGACCACGCCACAAAAGCTTGCTGCGATAGAATGAATCCACCACAATTATGAGCATACAGACGGCAATCTTCGCGTATGCATTTGCAAAACTCTGCAAAACCAAGCCACAGCATGCCAGACAAAAACCCCTCCGAATAATATAGTGCCACGGCTAGTTTGAAAGAGCAGATGCGACAAGCCCTATGACGACAGATACAGACACAGAGGTGCTGCGTACTACAAAAAATATGGCGACGGAACATCCGAGCCGTGGAAGAAGCATGCAGTGCTAGATGACAGAAGCTGCAGAGACAGAGTACTAGCCTGAAGAAGCAAAACAGATCGTAGGTTGCACTGGCACGTGCCATGATACTACAAGGGTGCCTGTGGCGGAAGAAGTGCGACCCTGTACTGAAACGGTTCTCGTGTAATCTACCTAAGCACGATCGTGTAACTTCCATAGTCAGCATCGTAACATGTCTTGACTGTAGGATATAAGAGTACACATGCAAGTTGCGAAGCGTTAGCCAGGCTGGAAAATGAAGCCGCGCAGGCAGTAAATGGCAGCGGTGTAAACACACATGCGTAAGATGCAAGAGAACACCGAATGATGAAAGAGCCGGACGTTTGAAGACGTCCTCTTCATTCAAACCCTTTGAGGATCCTACCTGTGCGGTGGTCTAAACCCTTCTGTCATGCTGTTCTAAAATGTGAAGCTGGCGCCAAATCTCGCATTGCTGCGGCACGCTGCGGAGGAGCTGACGTGCAGACATTTTCAGCTATCTTGAGATGTGCACTGATGCGTTGCAGATTTCGGAGTTTGAAACCAGTTTTACTGACGCGCCCACAGGCAGCAAAACACTCAACAACTGATTGTGTCACCCAAATTCAGCACACGACGTTACGGTCTCGAAGAGAAAACAAGTCCTAGCAGTAACTTTACGTAGCCACTTCAGCCGAGCTTTAGTTGAGCCAGCAGCATGCATGGCAATCGAGACTTATGTGCATTCGAAGAGAACGCCAGAACATCAAACACAGGGAACCAGAAAGCATTAGCATTTCTATGCACGGCAGAAGATCCGAAAGCTTTCTCAAGTAACACACAGCAAACACAAGCATGATTCCATACCCCTCAAGCTCAGCCAAGTAGCTGCCGTAGTCGAGCAGCCGTACCCACTGATGCAAAGGGCCTTGCCCACGAGGTTTTGAACCGAACCCACAAACCCTTCAGCTCTTCTCGCAGCGAACATGTTTAGGTTTCTCGTGTGGGAACCCAGGATCCCAACAACAAGTATGACAGGCCTCGCAAACATGGATTCTTCATGGCTTCAACAGATGATGAGAGTCAAGTGACAAGCAGCAACAAGCATTGCAGCACCTTTGCGTGGACTTCCAGCCGGAAAAGGAGAACTCCACCGCGAGTGATGCTTGTTCCAAATGCTGCACGATCACATGCTTATGCACTATCGCACTACGCAGTACTTCTTCTGTTGATTCTATTCCTTCTACTACATTATTCCTTCACCACGACCAAGACCACAATGACCACAACGACAGCTACACACCAACAACACAAACAATCAACGCGATTGCTGCTATTACGACCATTACGACTACGACCATTACGAGTACGACAACGACGACGACGACGACGACTGCGACTGCTACTACTGCTGCTGCTACTGCTGCTGCTGCTGCTGCTGCTGCTACTGCTACTACTACTACTACTACTACTACTACTGTCACCACCACCACCACCACCACGACCACGACCACTGCCACTGCTACTACATGCTGCTATTGCTGCTGCTGCTGCTGCTGCTGCTGCTGCTGCTCCTGCCACTGCTCACGCTACAGACGCTCCTTCGCGGCTCTGGGCCACAACGACATGATGTTATTTCTTATATGGTGGATAGAAATGATCCTTGAATCCTTATTGAGGCATGCACGCACATCTTCAAAATGGTTCCCTTCACTCCATGTCGTCATCCTTGTCCATCTGCCTCCTCGCTTCATGCCTTTCCGCTCTTTGGTGCTTCCACAGGCCGCAAGATGAGTCCAGTATAATACTTTTCCACTTGGAAGTGCTATTGATATCTGTGCTAGTCTGTACTTTCGAAGGCCTGTGGGCAAGTGTCGATAGGTGCCGGATTTCTGTGGGCCGAATAAGTACTTTGCTGTGGTTAAGCATGCGGGACATGGTACAATATTCAATGCATGTACACATGGTACACTTGTTCCTTCATTCTGCTGTAGGACCTACACTCGATCAACAGAGTTGGACCATTACTGTACTATTACTATACCAAGTATCCCGCGTTCTGTCATACGCACTGCACAAGTATGCAATAGGAGCTGCTTTCAAATTCGTTACAGTACCGTATACGTCCACACTTTTGCAAGCTGTGAATCTCTTCGTCCAAGATCCGGTGTATGAATAGATTCAGAATTCATCTTCTTGATTTCAAAGGGCTGCTGATGCTGTGTGTGCAACAAACAAGCAAGCAGGGGCACGGGGAAATCGTCGGAGATGGGCGTGAAGAGAGCCTCCGTTTCCGAACATAACATCACAGCTGGTCGTTGCATTCGTTCCTTCTTCCCTCTTGCCTAGCTTTCTGCCTGTCCCCCTTGCTTGCTTCATTCCTTTCTTCCCTTCCCTTCTCTTTCCATATCTGCTATCCTCCTCTCCTGACTCCTGCTAGCTAGCTTCATAATATCTGATGCTTGTGTAGCCTACATTTGGTTGCATGTCGATTCCAACTGATCGCGCCTGTGGCAAGAACAGGCGCCAAAGATGATGGGAGCACATTGCAGTCCACCGCCTCTCATGACGGAACGCTCTGGAACACATGAGACATTACTAAGCCTTCCAGGTGAAAATCAAAGGATCCCTGAAACAATGCTTCGGCTGAGTTGTCGTTGTATCACGATCACTGCACAGGTGATAGAGCATTGGAGTGGGGAGTGGAGGGGCAACCTCCCACACTTCGCGGGTAAAGCAAAACGTTCGAGCGAAAAAAGCCTCAAAGCCTTGCAACACATGAAGAACCTTAAAGCAAGTCGAGGCATGCACTCCCTGCTTTCTGGCTCATCTGGGCAGCCAAGAAAGTGTGCTTCCATCCCGAAAGACATTTCATGTCGCCGGCATGACACACAGATTCACGCACAACCTGCATCAGTGGTGGAAACGCCACAACTGGCACAGAGCGAGATGCAAGTCGAATCTGCAGTGCACACTCAGATATCGTCGAGCAGCCTGTCGCATTGCATGAGAGACCGTAGCACATTCTACGATGGTAGGCCCACCGCACATCCCGCTCATTGGGGCAGCCTGTTCCAAAATACGAGTTCAAATGCTTCCGAGGGACGATGGCAAAGGTGTCAGCAGTGTCCGATGGATACGGGAAGGTCTTTTTACGCAGAATGTGCACCGAGTTGGAATCCAAATTTCCGAGGTTCCCGATGGGTGCCATCCAGGCCATGTCAGGACGCAATCGCAGGACCCAGTGGAATCTAAAGCCCTGGGCCTTCTCTGCCTCGGTGATCATGTGAAGGCAGGTCTGGAACTTGGCAAACACATGGTGGCTGTTGTCTCCCGGTGTCCAGTGGCATCTTGCTAGCTTTGACCACGTGCCCGATATGCCCTTGCGCTCATCGTAGAAAGCCAGCTGGTCGGGTGGCACCATTCGAAAGGCAGCGGAAAAGTCTCGCAGCTTGCGGCCCTGCAGGTCCAGCACATAGAAGATTTGCGTCCTTGCACCCAGCGTTCGAGTCACATTCTCAGCGATGGACTTGTGCACTTCCGGCATCCAAAGACTCCTTGCCAGACCGGCGATACAGACAGCGGCCCGGAGACGGCCTTGGCCTTCCGAACTTGGGACGGCCTCAGATCTGACGGCCCTGGCTCTGAGGTCCCAAAGAAGGGCCTGGCCGGCCAGCCCCTCCCCACCCTGCACAACGCCGGTACCTCTGGGAGGAGGCAACTGCAGGCGCCCATCCCCATGCAAAAAGATATCGGGATATGCAAGACGTAGAGACAGAGGTAAAACTTCCTTGATTAGATTCTCAACTTGGCCACAAGCAATGACGGGAGGGAGCCACTGGTCATGCTGGAAGATGCCTGGAGCACACATGAAGACTTGCAGGTGATTCTGGGTACCAAAAACAGACCGTCCATAGGTCGCATGCAATTCTGGCCAGTCTGCTTTGCCTAGCCGAAGCTCCCAGAATGCTCCGCCCAGTGATTCAACACAATCCTGCCAGGCGGTTGATGCTTGCCAGTACATCTCGGAGAGCATAGACCGGTAGACTCCTACTGTTGCCACGAAGGCGCGCATGAGCAAAGGGAGCCTTTCAGACACTGCTGTTGCACAGCTCGGAGTATGATTTCCACGGCGCCGTGGTAAATTATCAGGGACAAGGCACGCGACGTCAAGGGCAGAATTGCATGTCCTGCCCAACATATGAAGATAACTTCGGGTGCATGCGGTAGGAGCTGACCGAGAGGAGCCTCCGCAAACCTTGCAAGACTTGCTGCAGCACAGATCTGCAGAGCGAATGCCCCAGCTGCACCACTCAAGCAGCCTCTTGGAAGGCTGCTTGGCCCCCATGGCGATGAAATGTGTCCCGAAAGCCGCCCCCTTTGCACACGGTGGTTCAGAAAGCCTTGCCGCACTTAAGTAACCTGTTCACTTTAGGCACCGAAGTTGAGGCTTGCCGAAACCTGCCAACGTATATCTGTGTTCCGGAGCGGAGATGCGCAATCCGCCGGGTTATCAGGAGATGGGTGACGTCAAGAGAACTTCAAACACGGGATCGTGATTTCTGCCGTGCCGTGTTAGAAGCTGCAGATTTACTGCTGGAGAACTAAGCAGGAGTTCCAAGTTCCAACATTCAGCAAGCCTCGTGAATGAAGGACAGCATGGCCGTGATCACGAAGATGACCCCATGCCACCTCAAAGGTCTCATTATGATGACTACCAATGTGGGGAGTATCACCAGTCACTTTCAGTCGCAAGTGGTTTCAGATGATCCCACAATTGAGTCCTGCGCGTCCTGTCTGAGACATTAATCGACGCAGTCAACCGCCGATCTTGCAACAGCGAACAAGTCCGCAGTCCGATCTCGTATCAGTCTGAAGTCCAAAGCCAAGTGCTTGCAAGAGTCACTCTTCCAAGGCCTAGGCCAAAGAGAGCATGTTTTCGCTCGGCTTGAACTGATGGCTTATACTTCAGCGTGAGTCAGGTGAAATTTCAAGTAGTCTGAACTTGAAGAAACGGGGATGCAAAAAGGAACATCTGCCTTGATGATTGGTGTCGTCGCCTTTGCCTGAAGTGATGTTTCACTATTTCCGCCATGTTAATTCGCCTATACGATGCGTGCAGCCTTTTCACTTGTTTATGTCACTGGTTAGAGATCCCTGATTTTTTGAGCAAAAATGTCTTCGAAGTGAGAGAGCTCCATTTCCCAATCGTTCCTCTTCTCACGCTGGGGCCATGGGCAGGACTACAGGTGCGTCGGACTGCCGGACTGCAGGAGGAAAGAGGCGCGAGATTGCAGGGTCTGCAGACACTAAACGGAAGGGTTACAAAGAGGCACTCCGAATTGCGACACCTATGAAATCCCATAAACATGCACCTACGGATTTTTACAATGATGTTTCATGTTGTGGGAACGGGCTTGGCATTCTGGCAAAGTTGATGTAGGGGATACACGAGATAGGCCTTCTCTCATCAGAACCTCAAGCGCCCGGGCGCGGATGGCTGCGACCGCCGGCATGAGGAACAGGAGACCGGCCAGCATTGCCAGCGGTGCAAGGGCGAGGCCGTTCTTGCAGGGGAGAGCACGCACTAAGATCTTGATTTCTCGTCTTAGGTTTGGGGTGGCGGAGAGAGTCTTGGCGCATCACCTGGATCCCTTCAGGATGACGTCTGGATGACAGAGTCAAGCTCCGCCAGCCGAAACGACTGAACAGAACAGCTGTCCTTGCAAATAACGCCTCCCCTGCTCAGCTGCTCGAGACGCGGGCCTCCGCCTGCTCTAGCAAAAGGCCAGAGGCAGTGTCTTCGGGCCCGAGGATCACATGGGTCCTGCACGCTTCAGACCCCAATTGCAGCAAAGGAGCCGAAATTGTGCCCCTCAAAAGCATCCACGCATTTACCACAAGTCCCAACATGCACGTCCTTCCCCTGGCTCACGCAGCAGCTTCCCTTTTGCATGAACGAGGCGTGATGCACTGTTGATCGCTTCTCAGTTCTTGAGCATCACGCCCCGTCCTGTCTTGTATTAAGCTATCGTCCTGCTTCTCGATTGTACAGCTCTACTGCGCATCGCATTGGCACGAAGTAGTGCAGAGGCCTAGCTAGGAATCCTGCTTCCTTGCACGGCAATACAACCTTCGTGCTGTTGGTTTTGGGATGTATAGGTGGTCTCGGCTTTGCAGACGTGCAGCTGGTGTGAACATGCCTTCCCCGATACTCGTGATAACACAACTCATGCCACTTCCCCGATCATGACAAAGTCTTCAACTAACATAACCTGTAAACGCATTCTGTCTCATGCTTTGTGACTGCACTGCATCCCCTGCAGCAGCCATTGTCACCGTGAGGATCATCTGACCAAGGATCATGCAGCGAGGGCCCTTCGAGAAAATACGTGGCCTCGAAGATTCAGGAACCATCGTCGAGAGGATATGGATGTGCTGACTCTTCAAGCTGGCAGATAAAGCTCAACGTCAATCCAGGAGAGCTGTAGAAACGTGTGCAGGTGTATGTATGTATGTATGTATGCATGCACATGTACATTATGCATATGATATGCTGTATGACGTATGATGTATGGTCCACGCATGCCAGCTCGAAGAAGCTCAGACGGACCAGGATTTAGCAAGCTGCGGCCCCGAGAACTTCTCTGGGCTCTGAGCCAATAGTGGCAGAGGGCAGATCGCTGTTACGCAGGTGATGTCAGGCTTTCGGCTCACTTCACTGCAAACGGAAACGGAGTGCTGAAGAAGACCCCGACTGACAACGGTACTCTATGCAAACAAGTTGCACACTTGATCTAGCATGTCGCAACACCTTACATGACTTCGATTGCAATTTCAATAGTCGTTTTGGGCCTGCTGGAAGCTTCTCGTGTATACTTTCAACCAGCAACGCTTTCCCTCTTCGCAAAACCTGAAGCGAGGCGGCTGCACCTGGATGGACCAGGGACTTCCTCGATTAATGGCTGCTGGCTGGAAACGCGTGAAAAGACACTCTTGTCGTGCACAAGCTAGATCCATCTCGAAACAGATTCAGGATGTCTTGAACTTGTCGATTCTTTTCCGGGCCGTGCATGAGTGTACTTGGGTCCATGGGAGACGCAAAATCGGTGAGAGAGGACGTTCGATTGCACTGGTCCGGCTTTTTAGGCCAAGAGAACAATAGAACACCAACAACACTAGCTGCATTAACACAACGTTTCAAGGCCTATTTCACAACACTGACAGCAATTGTCATCGAGCTGTCAGGCAAGCTGCATGAACTTCTGCTTGACCTCGCCAATCAGCCAGTCGAAAGACTGCTTCGATAGCTTCTCCTGACAGGACTACCCGACTCTTCACTGGGCATCTGGCTGCAGCAATCTCATCTGCACACTGCAAGTAAATCCTTACATGTATGTTCCGAAACAGGCGAAGCTAGGTCGTCGAGAGAAACGCTGTGTTCTATGCAGATGACAGGGAGCCGTCCGAGGGCTCGATTCTGCAGACGTTTGCGCTCTGCAATGCCTAAAACATCAGAGATCGTACCACAAGTTGCAGCCCTCGTGAAGCTGTTCTCTGGTCCTTCTCAAGGATTTTCCGCGACGCCAAGGCGCAGCGGAGGTGGGCGTTGAGGACGATCTGCAGTTTTTGCAGTGGACTCCGGGAGCAAACCAGCGCAGCGACGGCTCGGGAGTCTGGGCCTCTGCAGTGCGACTGACTCCTCCAAGACAGTTCAAGCTGATACTAGGCCCTGAACCCAACGACTGCCGCCAAAACTGTAGATGAAAGCCTCTATCTGCCAGAGAAGTCCTAAGACAGCATCAACTTGTGCTTGAAAGGCCAATGACAGAACTGCTCCACGAATTCCAAGTTGGCCGAACTCTGTCGGGAAGTATGAAAAGGCAAGTTGGAGAACCCACTGGATCCGAGAGCCTTCGCGTTGTCTTCCACTTCCCGTCCGATGGTGTCGCCTTCTGCGATGGCCCTGGTCACCTTGCACTGTGAGTCTGTGTCGGTGAACAACACCGCACATCATCATCACCATCATCGGCAGCAGCATCATCCTCATCGTCATCCTCATCACAATCAATATCTGCATCATCATCATCATCATCATGATCATCATCATCATCATCATCAATCTTCACCATACGCAATACCAACGTCGGAAACAACCGCAGCAACGCAGGAAGCAGGAGCAACAGTAAGGCAAGCGCAAGCCCATCACACGATTTCCATCAACAGCAATGAGAAGAGGCGGCACAACCACCACTACCACAATGGTGGCAGCAACATAGCTTCGGCTTTTTCCTCTTCATTAGCAACATTTTGGCTCACAGCGGAAGATGCTTAGAGCCTCATTACACAGCAGGTGCCTCCAGCTGCCTCAGCAAGTTTTCAACCTTGTAGACGATCTCCATGGGCGAATACCTGTTGTGCCGACCGCATTCGGACAGTGCTGCGCAGCCAGCACGGCGGATGCAGGCATTCACTTCTACGTTCCTCAACTTTAGAACGAGAGAATGTGGCATATTGCCGAATATATACTGGAATGAATGGCTTGCAACACTTCCAGTTTCGACGAAATCAACGGGCCTCTCTTGCGCTTCAGTGCCATCCTCGTCCGCGACACGGTTGCGAGCCCGGTCCAGCAGCCTCGACGCGAGGCAAAGCATCGCACCCACATGAATAACACCCCACCGCTCAATGTTTCCTTTGGCTTTACGCCCGAGACATTTCACGGTTGTTAGCAGCGCTTTCCTCACTTGAGTTTCTAATGATAATGTCAATGGGGAAATGCACAGCAAACAAAGCAGTGGCTGGCCGTGAAGTATAGCATGACAAATTTTGTTGAGCGCAGCCGGAAAGTTGTCGCTCGCAAAATGGTGATAAATCTCGTTTTCCCGTGAACACCTGGCGATGTTGATCGGGATGTGCTGCTTTGTCTCACCATCCGGGTATACCTTGCATGACACAATAAGTTAGCTCTCTGGCTGTGGGCATGAACCGATCAATCGCACGCTCCATGCTGCTCATAGCCCAACTGTCGATAATGATCAACCCTGTTCGCGCGACTTGATATACTTGGATCCCAAACCTCCCATCCCGGCCTCACTGCAGATCTGCTGCTTGATGGTCTTCAGCCTTTCCCACCTTATCGCAGTGCTGAGGTAAGGGGCATCGGATGGACCACTACTCGCTCGCGCTAGACTCGAACCGGCTCGGGTCCACCACATTCTATCGACAAAGTCTGTGGAATCTACACAGCATTTCACAAGCCCGCTCGTCTGCGTGCCAGGCTCAGCATCAAGGAGTTGCTGGTAATCACTGTTGACCTGCAATTTTGAAGGAGAGTTTCATCTTGCAGGCGATGCCCTCAGGCGGAAGGCTAGAAGTGAGCTCCCGGGCTTCTCATAAACTGTACTGGTGCTCCAAACGTGTGCCCTGTTCGCTACTTTCATGCCACTGCGGTGGGTCTGCCAGCTCCGTCTCCCGCAACTACATTCCGAGCTCGGCAACGTTTTTGACAAAGGCTCTGTGGGCTATGCGGCGATGGACACAGAGTCGGAGCTCAGAGTCTAAACAGGTTTCCGTGCAGGGCAGTCGGCCAGCCGCAACATGTTATCTGAACGTCTCACCACGTTTGTGACAGCAACAGACGTCGCATGCCGCAGCCATCCTTGCACCTTTCCGAAACTTCGTTGACCAAACACTCTTTCTCGCGCCCCTCTTCCCGAAAGATTGCGAGAGATTCCGCGAGAAGTGCCTTAATCTGCTCCAGGACGCGGGTCGGCAGCCAACCGAGCCCGTAGTCTGCGTCAGTGTACTTGTGCCTGAGAAAGCGCTGTTTGACAGGCCAGTCCCGACGAAACTGCAACCGAAATCAGAGCTGCCCGGCTGGAAGGTGTTCTCGAGCTTCCGGTTGTCGTAAGTCATTATCTCCAGAGTTTGATCCTGCATGGAGCTCCACTTTACCGACACCTCCCTGCCGACCTGGAGGCTTTGAGGGACGCCATGCTCGCGCAGCTAGCTCCTCGATCCAAAGCCCGTCCATGCCATCCTCTCCATAAAGGAATTGGATAATGTCCTCAGCACTTCGAAACATTTCGAAACTTAATACCAGAGGGTGGGAAGGCAAGTACAGTGGCCGGGTATGCAGGAGCTTCTGGCGAGCTGTGCAGAAGAAACACTGAGTCTCTGGCATTGCAGGCATTCCGAGCTGTGCCATCATAGGCCACCCTGGCGGCTGTGGCACGCTCCGTTTTGCATGTGCCCTGCTTTATCCCTGTGGCTTGAAGCCATGCGAACAAGCAAGGTCCGCTGCACAACACAGGCCGTGTACGTCAATGCTCCAGACTCAGCACGGCACTTTGGCAGATGAATCATTCCTGTTGACTTTTCGACTACATGCCGAACTGCCTCAACATCATTCAACATCTCCCTCTGATCCCTGAACACCGGCTGCCAGGCTTCAGTGTCTCCATAGACTTCACAAGACGCCTTTGGATGTACCTTGCGTCTTGCTCGGTGTGGAATGTCCCGTGCGCAATATGTTGAGATGCAGTGGCGTAGTGGTAGTAGAAGAAAACTCGTTGGAGGATCAGGCGAGCCCTTCAATTGCAAACTAGTATGCCCAAGTGAGCGCTGGCTTCTGCCGCATCCTCATACCTATAGAGGAACCAGACAAGGGTAATAAGGACTTGGTGAAAACATGGTCAGCGTCGCGCCCTGTCTCGGAGGTCTTGCAGGCCGTGTCGATGACCCCCTCGCGGCCTCCCATGGCATGCATCCAGACCTGGGATGCGACAGTATGTCACTGCTTCCTTCGAGGGCATTCGGCTTTGCGCCGGACGTTTCTCGAGATCGAGACAAGACAACCGTTTGCGACTGTTTCAGATTGGTCGCCCCCTATAGTAAGAATGCAGAAGGCTAGATACTGAGCCTCCTGAGTGGCTTCGCCGTCAGAACAGGCTGTCATGCAACATGTTGTCTTGTGTTGTCCGAGCTGGACAAGACATGAGCTGTCAAGGCTGCCAGATCTGGCTAAACCTTGAAGCACTACGTAACCCCGGCACTGTCTTGAATGCACAAGGCAACTCTGATTTGATTGCACTTCCGTAGCAACGGCATTCTGATGTCCTGTCAGCAGAACAGCTGAACCAAACAAAACATATGATCTAAACTATACTATACTCAATGATCTCCAATCGCAATCTGCCCAACCACCAACGGTAACCCATATTCCAAAACTGCGTCTGCTCGGCTGAACCGTCCAGCCTTCCCCCCACGCCGATTCGAGGCCAGGGCTTCCTGTGGTGTAAGGCCTGCCAGGTAGGAGTTCTCCACGAAGCCCCGCGCCTCCGCTCCATAATCGTCCTGGCTGCGGCTTCTACCCAGTCGCGAAAGCCAGCTGGAGGCAGCACCTTCGTGAAGTGCGGCAGGGTCCGCTCATTGAAGCCGTACCTATCCGCGGCAGGCAGGCGGCAGATGTCAAGAGTTTGCAAACAGAGCCTGCAGTTTCGGACCTCCCAATCCCAGCCTGATGCGGGCACCTTCCACGTTTTGCTGACCCACACAGGCCACAATCTGGGCAATGTTCAATGGCGACCTCGGACCATCGATAGAAGCCACTGATTAACTGAAGTAGGACAGAGTTCGCCCGTTCCTCTTCGGCATTGTGCCAGCGAAGCCAGAAACAAGAGTCTAACATCAGCACGAATCCAGGGCCCCTGCCCCTTAGAGCCAGCATTCACCTGGGCGTAGGCTCACCCTGTAAATCTTGACCTTCATATACCTTGATTATCACACTTGGTGACTCTCTTGGTTGTAGTTCTGATGCAGATTGATTCGTGAACAACCGCAGAAAGAAAGACTTTCAGTAGGCTGAGACACCATGGAAATGATGTTGTTGCGCTCATCCAGCGAACTGGCACCAATGTTTCCGGCGTCCTTGGACGGCTCTCGACTGGCATAAGTTATTCAGGGCTTAGGGTTTGGCACCGCGCTGTCCACACAAGCAGATTAGCACAGGGGAATCCTTCTCTGCGGCCTGATGCCGCCCGGCGCTGCTGACGCCGTCAAGATAGCACGCTTGCATGATAAATTATGAGCGTCAGAGCAGCCCACCAGTTGACGAGCAAAAACCATATGATGTGCGAAGCATCGCCCTATAGGCCCTAGGCCTCAGGTACACCCGAACACACATCGACTGTTGGAAACTTGCAAGTTTGCCCCAAGAAGTCCTCGCGGGCGGAGTTCAGACGTTGGTTCGCCTTGGCTTCGAAAGACTGGTACCTGCAAGGAGACTTTGGGCCAATGGCAAGCACCGAATGGAAGAGCCTTCGCCGGCAAATGAACAGATCTGAAACACTGTTTCCGCAAAAGGCATAACAACAAAAGCTTCCTGGCGCACATGGTTTTTCCAGGCTGCGTCTCCAGCTTTCCGCGCTGAGCATCAGCTAGGAGTGCTCGCACCTCTTTCTTTGCCTGGAGCTTCATGGGCTTCGGCTTTACAGCTGTATGCGTGCCAGCTTTGAAAGCCGATTAACTCGAGTTGTTCAATTCAGATCTTGTGTTATATGCCTGCATGTGAGGGACCCGCGCAGACTGCTCAGACTTATCATTCAGCGGGTCCTGTTTCAGCGTCTTCTCCACACTCAGCAGCGTTTGGTCGTTGGCAATGATGTCTGCCACGCCACAGGAGAACCTGTACAAGCAGTCAAGGTGCAGGTGGCAGTGACAGGTCGAGGAGTGACTACCCTCTTCAACAACAGCGGATCCCTAAAAAGGACCCTGAATTCAGCAGGATCTTGACGAAAGAAGGATCTCCAAACAGGACCCTACTTTCAGGCCTTCAGGGCCCCGCAACGCAAGTCGCTGAGGTCCCCGCCCATTGTGTGTCAACCACTGGTTGACCATCTTTTGGATGTAGGAAAGAACCTCCCGGGACATCCGGGCCGGCTTGTGACTATGTGGGACACCCTTTGATGCTTCAGATCCGGGGCCCGGCACGTTCCGACACCACTCCGGCCCACTGTCCAGCCAGACCTGAAGCCACGAGAAGCGAGCGGAGCAGCAGAGCGAGCGCAAAGAGGGAGTACTCGACGTGCGCTGAGCACCCTGCCAAATGGAGCAAAGATCCCCCAGAAGAGCCAATCTGCGGAGAGCATCTCTAGACAGGTGTGCCGGCCCGCGGGCCTGTATAAACATGAGACCGCTAAGTAAGAGCGCATCATCGGGGTACCGAATCTAGGAAAGAAAATTTGTCTTGTCGTGATGCCTGCAGATGAGCTTGTCGCATGAATGTGTCTGTCCTCTGGTATGTCTGTCAAAAGAAGCTGGGTTGTCAGCTGGACCGTCCTGCAACTTGTGGGACTAATTGTTGGAATCCCTTGAGAAAGTATAGTATCTTCACCAGCAAACCGTCTGGTTGGTGAGCACTGGCTCATCGTTGAGTAATTGCTGAGCAAAGACCACCGTCTGAAGTAAGGGGCGCGCTGTTCTCTTACACACGATACCGCTCAACAGCTCGCCGTTGACGATGAGCACCTCGACACAAGGTTCCTCTTTCTTCAAAAGGGCCTGGAAGATTTGCTTCTAAAGATACAAAGCTTGTTTGATGGGCCCAGAGCCACACGAGGAAGCGACACTCATGTAAACTTGGGGAAGCTGCTGGACGGTGGTTTCTCTCATGTCCGTCTGACTGCGGGGGGGGGGGGGGGGGGGCATCGACAGTTTGAGGGCCTCAAGCATTCAGAAGCCAGACATGTCTCGCGGGTGGAGCCTTTGCTCAGACCATCCTACACCACTCAATTGAAAGCCAAAAAAAGGGCATTAGTCGGTCGATCTGCACCTTGCAATCGCTCGCTGCGAAGTCTGGCTCATCCTGGCCAGCTCGAGATAACGATTGTCCGGCACTTTCTGAGCGCAAGCCCGAACCAAAGCTCAAGCGAGTTGGACTGGACACTTCAGACGTGATGGGTGCAGAGACTACTCGGTGGGCGTAGTCACCGCGTAGTCGTTGCAGTTGCCCATCAGTCCATGACGCGGCAAGTCCAGGAACCAATGCCACAGAGCGGCAGACAGCACATTACATGATTACCTTCGGGCTGAAACGTCTGTGGCAAACCTCCAGAAGCCTGCAAGTAGCGAAGGCGGCCTTCTTGTTCTTGGAAGCGATCGCTGCATCACGCTGGGCCAGGGAGAACAAAGCGGAGATGCGGGGATTGGGGAACTCATCATTCACTCTCCTGGATTACACGGCGTACATTGCACTTCTTTTTAACTCGGCTTTTCCAACTTAAGTACTGCTCGCGAGATACATCTCTAAAAGGGCGTAGTTGCCATGCAGCAAACCTTCCCACCTGCCTTCATGGACAGAGTCTTGGGCAACAGCATGGAGAGGATCTGCTTGCCCGTCCTAGCACGCGCCGTACAATGTGGCGTGTGCCTCCGACTGAAGTACCATGCGGCGCATGCCCGGGGTCGGTCCAAAGCATTTTCGGCTTGATGATCGCAGGGATCGGAAGCTGGCCTTGGGCACAGGGCAAGTCGGAGACTCCGAGCTTGGCTCATACCGGGCTCGATGCCGTCCCAAACAGGCAGCCACATGAGGATGTTCATGCAGAGATCCTCCCAGAAACACTGACATGGCGAGAATGCGGCCAGGGACAACGGACAACGCGACTCGGTTTGTGGAACTACGCATCAGTATAGATGGGGCTTGTCTTGCATACGAGCTCCATAGCTATACTCCATGGCCTTCTCCATGTATGTATCTCGCTTTGTGTACTTCGCGGTGGCGAGAAGGCTGTCCTGCATGGGCTTGTCAACACAGCGTCTAATTAGCACTGTGTTCTCTGGAGCTCGTGGCCTCAAGGCCAAACTCATCACCACCATCTCCCAACAGTTCCAAACCCTGAAACTCGCCTGCACAACGCCCATAACGGGCTTGTTCCCCTGCGGAGACACGACCTGCGCTGCAGTGGGCAAGCACAAAAAAACTGCACGTGGGAGAAGCTGTTTGATGCAACACCATTGCTCGACGAGTCTCGTGCCTGCCGCGGGTTCAGCATCATGTGCTTGATCTCCGCACGTGTCTCTTGCGACTGCACAAGTCGCGCTGCACGTGGTACGACATGATTTCGCTAGTTCCGCTAGTTGGCGGCAGGGAGCTACTGGCAGGTGCTGGACTTTGCTGATGCAGAAGATATAGGAACAATGACACGACCAGCCGTTGCAACTACGAGCCTTTGATCACGTACCGGTTTCACTAGGTAGTGTACAAACCAATCCTAAAAGCCTCTGCAAAGTCTCGCTTGCCGGTCCGCCACCTGGGCTAGGTGCAAGTTCATTTCGTCTCCGTCGAAGTCCGCGTTGTAAGGCGACGTGACTGCCTTGCTTTTTCTGGGGCAATGTGTGTCACTTTGACCACGCGCCACACCAACATCTAACTCACGCTCTGCTGTCAAGAACTCACCATGCCGATCTGCACAAAGGGATACAGTTTGTCAAGGACGTGGGGAACCTTTCCCAAACCGATACCCGCATGCCACCTGGGATCCTGAACCCGTGGACCCAGCAGGAACTCTGCTGGACCACGTCCATGCAAGCGGCTCTCGGAACACAACACTACTCCCGCAGGAGATACACTCCATGCATGTCACATGAACAGCATGTGCGCCCGGCAAGATTGAATCGCAATGTAGAAAAAGGCATTACCTGCTTCCAGAGCGGAGGCAAAAGTCAAAGTCTTGGGCCCTAGGCCTTGGGCCCCGAAAACTGTGAAGGTTTGGACAGAGTTCGCAGTCGAATGCAAGTCTTCAGATCCCTTCAAAGTATATTGACACAATACCTGGTCTCAATGCAGACTGACGATGCATTTACACGCTTCTTTTTCAATCTTTGTTGATGCCAGGAAGCCCTGGCGAAAGCTACCCGAAACTTCCTTCCGAACTATGGATGCAGAAAACATCTGAGCTGATATGTGCTAGAGACATCCTGGCAATGAGTACGTCTACCCAAAGTTGCATGCCTTGGCCCTGTGACCCATCATGCTCATCTTGTGCAGAGATGGTTGGCGATTGAAGATGACCTCAGGACTGCAGACAGTCAATGTGGCTATATGTATGAGGATGTCCAGATCCTTCCTATCTCAAGTCACATTCCGAGCACTGAGCACATGCATAACGAGTCTGTATAAAGCGAATCGAACAACATGTGGAGCGCTGGAGCACAAGCCAGAAGCAGGTTGCACATTCCTTGCTACATTGAACAAACGGGTACTCCATGAGCAGTACGAGACCCGGATCCTTGCTCTCGGCCGCACGCATAATCTCCATCTAGCATGTGGCGCTCTACACGCCAGCCAAACCTCGAGGCGGCTCGGGGAAGTTAGGAAGTGCTCTGTCGTGCACTCAGCGAGTCCACGATAGTGAGATGTTGCGGGATTCATCTAGCTGCTAGCTGTCGTTCAAGATGTCGGCTGGTCGAGGGGAGAGAACCAGCTCAGATTTCTTTAAGTTAGAGGCGGGGAAAGTCAGCGAGTCGAATTGCATCCAAACGTGATACACACCACAGCATTTGGAAGATCTTCATTGTCGAAGGTCAAACCCTCCAGAGCTGCATTTCTCTCAACAATCCCCCCTGGCTCGGTGGCCCGCTGCAGATCTATGTCTTCTCGTTTCCCAACGTACCTGGCCAGCACCCACAGAAACACATCTGCGCCAGAATCCGAGATAGCAAGACATGGCATTTCAGTTGGCGACCGACGAGGGCTCCGACAACCTACCGGCCTGCATTGCCAAAATCTCGAACCTGCCAGATGTACATCACTGCAAGGTGAGAGTCACAGAAACTGAGGTGGTGGTGATTGACATCCCCCAACGACAACACCACGTGCGCGTATCTCTGTCGGCTTGTCATGGCTTGTCTGGCCTGGCCGTAACCTTAAAACTTAAAACAGTGTCTTGGCCCGGCTCATGTCAAACAGGTCGACACTCTGATAAACAACGTGCGTGGGCACCGGAGGTCTATGCGACTCCCGTCGTCGCGGATGATGTATCTGCGGTCAATTGAAATGTGCAGCTTTGCAATGCCAAGGAAATTCGACTCGCGATGACTGACTTTCAGGGCACTATCTGACAGGCAAACGGATTGCTAGCAGAAGATGCTTTTGACGCTGATCCACTCGGGGAGGCGGCCCGGGATAACAGCTGGCAAAGTCATTACGCATTTTTAATGGGCAAGCTTCTGTTCTGCTCAGATCAAGTAATTAGCTTGTAATTCGATCCTGAAGCGCAGGCTCGCAGAATCATAATTGAGGTTCAACATAATCCAATCGCCTGGCACCCGGCCAATTGGTCGGCCCATTGGTGACCAGCTCCTTCAACCAGTTGGCGTTCAACCTGGAGCCGCGAATCTTGTTAATCGGTTTCTAAGTGTCACTCGATGACCTTGCACTGGCTGCTGCAATGGGAAGACTTGACTTGACCATGTGGGGTGCAGATTATGCCACAAAGAGAACAGCTTGGCTCCTTGACCCTACAAACCGTGAACCCTTCCTTCAACCCCAAACCCTATAATAACCCCAAATCTCAAAACCGTAAACTCTCCAACCCTAGACCGTCTTGCGGAGCTACGTACTGCTTCAGTCACAAAAGGGCTAACGCCCAAGTCTTTGAAGCTTAGGACTCAAGAATGCCTAGGTTGAAGCTGCTTAAACCACATACCCGGGAAAGCAGCATAACACATCCACACAGACTCCAATCCGAAGCTGTGCTTTCTTTTGCAGCCGTTGCACTGCACTGAAGCACTGGCACAGCTGAAGTTCAACTCGGCAAGGATTCCCTGCACTCAGGCATCCTTCCTGAAGCCTCTTGACTGAGTCCCTTGAACGAGAAACTCCACCAATGGTAAAACTTCTAAGCTCACCGCGGGGTGACACGCTCTGGAAAGGTCAGGTTCAAAGCCACAGACCTTCAAGTCTTGTCAGAGAGTTGAACGTCAACTTGGCAACTCCCGGCTACAGAAGCCAATAGCAAGCCGGATGTCTCTTCAACAGGTCGTGGATTCAGGTCCGAACTGTATATGTATAAACATTCTCATTTCCTCAGGCACTGTGTTGTCAGCAGGCCGAACGCAGGACATCAACCAGTCTTGAAAGCAGCCAGTAACCCAACACACAAACTGGCGTTGGAAAGGACGTTCACAAATGGCCGGGCCATCCCCATGTATCGACTGGAACAGGTTGGGGAGAGGACGAGGCCCCCGAAACTTCGTAGCCCTAGCCTAGCCTAACCTACACGATGTGTACTATTAATTTGCGGAACACAAACCCTCGCCCGCACAGTAGCATGACCACTAGATTCAGTTAGTGTTGCATCGCATCACAGCGCTGTTGAAGCTGTAGCGGACCGACACGCACAATGCCAACCCACCCGGAATGCCCCCCAGCGCAAAGAGCCCAATGATGACGGGGACGATGTAACATCCGGCATTATCCGGCAGCCCTGGCGGTTGTCGGTGGTTGTGTTGGCACTTCCCGTCCCACCTTTTCCCAGCAGGCGCAAGGCCGAACCACGCAAATGAACTCAAGCAAGGAAGCTACAAAACTGCCGTGTTTCTGCATGTTTCAGCCACTGCTCAGATGACCTGACAAGGATGTGCCATGCGTACATATTCTGCGATCCCCCTTGCTTAAATGGGGGGGGACGATGGAAAATGCATTATTCATTTTCTGGGTCCCCTGATTTACGTACATGAGGGGTCATGGGCTCAGACGGGCTACCCCCCCCCCCGCCTCCCCAGCTCAACGATGCATGCAA